TTCTCCCCCTCGCCCCAATAAGAGAACACCAACTATTGCTTTGTTCAGCTTCTATCTCAACCTTATTAGCAATGCAAAATGTTGCTCATATTTTACATATTTCAGCCTGCCTCTTTCAAAAGATACTATACATCTGTGCATTTTCCAGTGAATTCCTGATTAACATTGCTGACATGGAAGTAGCAGTTTTGCTTTCAATAAAAGCAGGACCAATGTTCCCAACGTAGGACTGGAAGAGAAAATACAGATTGAACTTCTAGCCTGCCACACTCTGGCAACATCTGTGGTCTGGGATGATTTTGGTTATCTGGATGTCCACTTACAGGTATGGCCAAGTCTCCCATGGTCCCATAAAGTTCTGGGCTCTCAATGTTCTGTTATTTAGCTCTAATTTATCCCTAAATGTCTTCTGAGAGCCTAGTAAGCAATGGAAGTGTTGGTAATACTGCTAGAAAATATTGATCTCCCATGGTTCAGCAAATTCTCTGGTTCAGAACCAGTCAGGTCCCAAGGGTTCCCAGAAATAGAGGGGATCAACATGTATAAAGTTAGCTAAAGACCAGCTTATAGCATAGCTTAGGCCACACTCCCATGGAAGAACAAACCCTCCCTTATAGTGTCCTGCACAGCTTGCTGAACTGAGCTGGGATGCCTAACAAATAAATGGAGGCTGGGAGAATTTCACTAGGGGTGTAATTTCACTAGTGGACTTTTGTTGACAAAACTATACCTGCATCCACATTGCCTTTGAGTTATGTTGACATAACGTTGACAAAACTCAGCAGTTTTGTCGACGTATGTAAACCTCATTCTACGAGGAATAACGCCTTTTGTTGACAGAGTTCTGTCGATAGAAGGCATTATTGCATCTACACTGTCCTTTGTGTCCACAGTTATGTTGACAAAGCAGCTTGCTTTGTCAACAGAACTGAATGTTATAGTCTAGACACTCTTTGTCAACAGTATCTGTTGACAAAACCCGTAGTCTAGACGTACCCTAGATGTACTAAAATGAAGTCTTCCATATCTTATCATTAGTTCCCTTGTAGCTCTATTATGATCAAAGAAGTCACAACGGCTTAGTGATCAGAATGCAAAGTTGCTAGAATCAATCCAGTTTTTCATTGCTATCTGCCCATAGGCAATCTCCCTAATGAAACAAGTGATTATTATTAGGCATATACTGTCATTTCTAGAGATACTTTTTCAGAATAGGGGTCAGACATTTTGGAATCACACGATGGAGGTTGTGTTACACTATAGTGTACCCTGTTTGACTTCACATCCTACTACTCTCAATCGAGCTCTACTTGGAAATATTATATTCAGTTACAGGTCTCATTTTAAGCAGAATTTCAGCTTAGCTTTCTTTTTGGGCCCTTTTATGAATGCAAATAATTGTGGTCAGATATGAAATTGGACATAGTCCTACTATGTTTTCTTCCCTCTCTTATCCCTACATCAGGGATGGGGAACCATTCTTGGCTTGGGTGCCGCTGACCTACAGAAAAAAAAAAATCAGGTTCCCCATCCCGGCTCTACAATGAACCTCTTTTGCTGAAGCAGAAAAGTATGGTCTATTTGACAACTACACAGCTCCATTTTGTGGTAGCAGGGCAAAGCAAAGAGGACAAAAATATCCACTCTACACCAAGTGAAAGCTTATTATATTAATATGTGAAGACAAGGTATACACTTTAAGATTACATTTACAATCCAATATAGCCCATATCAGAAGTGTATATCAAATACTTTAATTGTAACATTTTAAAACTTGTATGAATTCCAGTATTATGCATTTTTTTTCTTATTCTCCCAACAGCAATCTGAAAAACTTATTGAATTACTTAAAAGCATGAGGCAACGATGATCCAGATACACATACACTGAATCACTCTCCTACTGAATTTAAAACCTTTCATAAAAAGGTAGGTATTAAGGTATTGTAAAGAAACTGAGCAACACACATAGCTCTAATACTAAAGCAATCCCATTCTTAACTTGCACTGTTAAATGTACAAACAAGAGGGACATTTACAACTTCAGCAAAAACTCACTGTGGTAGGTAAATTATGTTAGTTACACCATTTGTGCCCATCTTCCATATGGGGGGGGAAGAAAAGGGGGAGGAGAAAGTTCTCCCTGTTTGCTGTATAGTTTCTTTATGTGGTTTACAGCAACAGTGGTACCCTGTTCAAAAAAAATTATGTAGAATGTACTTCCTTTTAAAAACTTTGTCTGCTTTCCAGGCAGTTTCCTTTTAAACATATCTATATACATCTCTCTTCAAAAGTTCCAGATAATTACAATCTGTTATTGGTTTCTATACAATAGCAGCTAGTTCCCAGCCAGTAATATGTGAAATTAAAACTGTTATGTAAACAGCTCTAGCCCCATCCCTGCCCCAAGCTACTGCATCCCCGCCTCCACTACCGGGGCTGCCGTGTCCCCGGATGTGGTAATAAGGCTCTGGCCCCAATTCTAGCCCTGCTGGGTTCTGAGCCACCAACCCTCTTGCCAGTGAAGCTCCCAGCCAGGACTTCCTGATCCAGGAACATCCATGGTCCTGCCAGACCACCGATGTTGCCAGAAAAGGGGAGTGCTAGTTTTTGGAGGTCCAACTTATACTTCACCCATATATAAATCCACTATTTGTTCTCCCATCTTAGAAAACTATTGTACAATGCAGCAAGCAAAAGTTTGCCTTCCTTATTTGACTGGCAAAATGGAATAATGGAAACATCCAAAATGCAGAAACAATTAAGTAGGTAATCATGAAAATATGGGAAGTTTATATCCTAATCAGAATACACTTGAAGACAGGTTTACAAAAGAGAATATTTTACATCCAGATTGTGTTCACATCACTGATAAAGCAAATTGCTTTCAACAATGAAAGGATACCACATCACGTTAACTGTATGTTTGCCACCAGTGAGTTTTGAACAGATAAAGTTAGATGCTACCATATCATTCATACACATAGAACTTTATCTTTGTACCATTTTGTTATGTGAAGAGAAACAAAACAATGTATTTACACTAACAGCAAACTGATCCAAGTGGTATTTAATGTTAAAAGTGGTTACCTAACAAGGATGGATATAACAAAATCCATTAATTAGTAGTCATCAAATAAGACATTTCTCATGCATGACAAACTCATTCATGTACTCAGGTCTGCATTTACTGTGTACAGTATTTTCATAAGTTATATTTCACAGCCCCTACCATTCAAGAATATTTCAGAGTATATATTATATTTGTATATGTAAATTATTATATACACTAATATAAAGATCCCTAAAAGTACCATTGACTATATTTATGCTTTCTGTAAAATGCATAGCTTTTGAATATTTTCTTGCAGTTTGACTTTACAGATTTAAAGCTGCTTATCAATGTGGTATATTAATACAAAAACTCAAATAATCCTTTACTAAAATGTTATATTTAAACCCCCTAGAAAACATGTTATTTTTAATGGAAAAAATAAGCAATCTATGCACTTTGCCCAAGTCTATATGGAATTAACGTAGCATTCTAAAAGTATGGTGAACTCTTCAACTAGGTCGGTAATATCGCATTTCTCATAGAGAAAAATGCTAGTCATGCCACAAAAGTGCACCACTTTCTTGGAAAAGCTTCATATGACTTTCAGCACAAAGTGTCAGGCTGGAGGAAAAGTTGATTAGTTGTTCATGTAGGAATTAGATGAAACAGTTTAATTTCTGCAGTTTGTTATTGAACCAAATGGCACTAACCATATCAATTACAAAATAAAATAATATTCTTTTTAAAAAGAACAGCAACTGACTGAAAACAATTTTTATCTTCTCAGTTCCAGTAAATACTCAGAATAACCAATGAGAGTGGAAAAAAGCCAGCTCATTATTGCAGGTGGTGGTCAATGAAAGCTTATTATAGTTTGTATGAATTATAAGAGCTGCATATGGTGAAAGCCTCAGAATGTCAAATAAAACTATCAATAGTAAAATGGAACAGATGAGCCTCTTGTTTTAGATCTATCAACCTAAACTAAACCTTGGCACTGAGGTATCTCTATAGCTGCTTAGAAGACAACTGTCTCCCCTGAACATTGCTACACACAAGTAAACAGTGTTCATAAAATGCCATCAGTAGCAGGTTTTGTTATTCTCTAACTCAAATGTTTGTAAAACATTATAGCTTAATGCATAAACCAGAAAATTAAGTGGAAACTAAGTACTTTTAATCTACAGCGTCATAACTACCACACGAGAATATCCACAGTATCTGATGGGTACAATGTAAATGGTCAGTGCACTCTTATATTACACTATTTCCTCCACCAAATGGAGCTTGTTCAGTAGTTTTGTAACAACTCAGTGTATGTGTTTTAAGGATTTAGATCTCTATTTGGCAAGGTCAGTACATAATACTACCAGATATACCTGTATTGAATATTGCAAGATGAAGTCATACATCCAGCAAAACCTCCTACACCCAGCACACTACAATTCGATGACTAAGAAAATCAGGGCCTCACGTGTAAGCATAATGGTTATGTTTTTAACTGGAGTGGAAGAGCCAAGAAAACAGTACAGCTGTGAAGATAAACGCCATCTCTTCAAAAAGATATGAAGTCACAAAGGGCTTTGTAAAATTACTGCTCCATTCACCCAAGGCATAATATGCCAAAAGAATGGTTACCTTTAGCACAGTACAAGCTGCCACCCACCTCCAAATCCTGTGAACTATTTCACAGAAACAGACTCCTTTGCAAAACAAACAAAACAAAAGTCTATGATTGCCCCGCTTCGCCCATATCATCAAGGAGACTTCAGCTAACCAAGCCACACACACAAGTAGTCACTAAGGGTGTTGCAACCAGCTGGCATTACTACAGGTGACTAGGGATGGAATTTTAACATAGTGAAAGAACCCTGAATAATCAAAAACAAAACCCTACTCAAATAAACAATGCAATGTCTTATTTCAGGAGGCCATTTTGGTCATACTTGAAATTAAAAAGAAACTTTTATTTCCAGCAATATTACTTGTGAAAAGATGGGTCATTGATCTACTGTGAACATAGCTCTCACCATATAAATAAAGCACCAAAGAGTCAGAAACAAGGAAAAAACATTCTTAAATTATGATTTACAAGTTTATACACTATTTCCTATGCAAAAGGTTGGCTGTACAGTAAGAAATTTTTAGATAAAATTGACCAGTTGTTAATTTTAAGGGGAAATACATATCTTGCTGTAACTTAACATAAAGTAGAAAATATTCACTGATCTATACAAGTGTCAAATGAGAGAGTTAAACTTAACTGAATAATTAACCCAATTTAACTCACTGGCCACTAAACTAAGCATCAGTAGCCAGTTAGAAACCTTGAGCACTGTACTTTAAAATGTCTTTTTTTTCTGTTTAATTGGATTTTTAAAAAATGTATAATAGTGCATAGCCTAAATCAGACTTTCAAAGAGATACAGTGCCTTTCAATGCAATTTTTGCAGCATTTAAAAGGGACTTCTCCCCTTTAATTAAGATGTTCATTGAAAAAAAATCTGAATTGTTGAGTGTTGTACTGTAGTAAAAATATTTCAGTCACAGACTGATAAATGTATACTGTGCAGTACTAAGATTGCTTGGTGTCCATCTGCACACAATTTACTTAGGTTCCTCAATTGTCCCCTTGCTGAGGTCTGTCATTTTGGGATATTTTACTTTCTTCTGGTCCAGTTCATTCTGAGCCCACAGAAGTAGTTTCAGTAATTTAGCCAGCTTGGGTGTTGACTCACGATTTTCATAGTCTAGAACAGCTTGGTTAACTTCACTCCATACCTGGAAAAGAAATATTGAACTTAATATACATTAACTGAACGAAAATGTCCTTCAGCTTGCAAATTCCTCTGAGTACAAGTGTTCAGTTTTTTCTGACTAGTCTCATATTACAATGAAAAACAAAAGAGAAGTTGATGATTTGTTTTTTTAAACCTTCTCTCACCATTACAGCAGCACCACAAGGTGTCAAATCTGAAGACTGCTCAGATGGCATAAGGCAACCCTGTCAGCCCCTCCTGATTCTCCCAGCATAGAGGAAGTAAGGCCAGAATGCGGGGATCCTGGTAGTGGAGTGACCCACTGGGGACTGATCTACCAGCACAAGTCAGAGCAAACTAACCACATGGAAGATTATTTTACTGTAGTTTTTTTGGCTCTCCAAAAGTTCAAGACAAAAATTCTATTCTGAAGTTCCACTACCAGTCTGTGCAACAGCCATTGCCTCCCCCCATCCCAAGAATATTGAACAGTTTGTAAAAAATACTCTGGGGGAAAAACATGGTTCTCTAGAAAATCATCTCATAAGGAAATATATAATTGCCTTACTGTGTCAATACAGCACAATTATAATGCACAACACAAGAAAACACAAGTTTACTTTTCATATTCTATTTAGTAGCCTCCAGGATTAGGGTGTGGAAGAAGAATCAACAAGATAAAATTAAGCCACTTTAGCTTTTCCAAACCCACACATGCAGGAAGCACTGTTCTGATGCTTCTAGACATCTATCCCAATGTGTTACACTTTTTAGTCTAAGCAAAATCAAGCAGAAAATGAAGTTATATTGTATTACCATAATCTAACTAGGGAGTTCCAGATTTTAAAAACACAGAAGGGACAGTAGAAGCAATTGAGGCATACAGATGGCAAAATGAGCAAAACCCAGGAATATTAAAAAAAAAAAAAAAAAAACCTAAGAGAGCAATTCTGATGTGTACTAAAAAGTGGATAGTAAGCCTGTAAAAGAAATATACTCCTGTTTCCTAGAGCAAGACAGCAATATTAGAAGCATAATTCTGAATACCTTGACGTCTAGAGCATGGAGATTAAGAAGAGTATAAAAGAAGGAAACATAGTATCAATGATTGCAATCAAAAGATGGACAAAATAAGCCCCTAGTTTCACAAATGTAGGATGGTTTTACATTACAAAAGTTCTTGCATGTTTTAAAAATGTTGTTAAATTAAACCAGTCTCAGCTTCAGAAATACTTCTGTTCTCCATACCAGTTAATAAATAATTATTAATTATGAACAAAATAATTTAAATATTAGCTCTCCACAACAAACAAAATGGAAAGAGCTTTCGTTTGAGCATACATTACCTTCTGTCTCTGCATCATGTTGAGCAAGTCTCCAAACGGTGATTCTTCAGGATTATCAAAGGCAAGCAATGCCAGGGTACGCTCCATTTCTGTCAAGCATTCTCTGCTCTCCTCTCCTTGTTCTGCCAATTGAGTCTGGGCAAATTCCAGGGCTGCCTCTGTCTCACGCTGACGAATCAGTTCAATCAAATGCTGCTGCTATATATACACACACACACACACACACACACACACACACACAAGAGGAACAAAGCAAGATTATTCGATAGAGGTTTAAATGATGTTTTACATGTTAAGAAATGGAATACCTAGAGCCTCTCTTACATAATATGGAAGCAAAGCTGTTGAAATCAGTATTTTGTCAGTACTAAAAGTCTTTGTTGGACTAATAGTAGTACAGTTAATCCTATTTTTAAGTCATTTAAAACCTGGAAGATGGGTTTTAAAGAAGAAACTTTAATTGTTGTTGGAAGACATGACTAATCATCAGCAATTTTGGAGTCTATAAATCATATGTAAAAGGAATATAAGTAAATATAACACACTAAAAATATTTTTAAAAGCTGCATTCCATGTCATAAAGTAAGACTTCCCTCGACTTAGAAGTGCTTTAAAAATACAGTTAAAAAAAAAATCACATCCCACACCACATTACATTCTTTCTTGTTTCCAAATTACTTCATATACAAAACAAACTAATCACTGGGTCTTACCTGCAAATGAAAGTAAAGGTATCGGTTTGTATCTAACAGTTCTGGATGGAGACTATTTATCAGTGCAATGGCTTCTTGAATCTGTCCTTTCAGTATCATTTCTCGAATTTTTATCCTTTCATCTAGAGTCTCTAGATCAACACTGGGCTCAATTCCAGACTCCATCCGAAACTTCTCAGCTGCCTCTTTAAAACCCTCTGAAATGTAAAAGTGTTTTATCTTTGAATTCTATTTAATAAGGTATATACAAAAGTACAGATTTATCAAACATGAATACATCCAATTGTCTTATATAGCTCTGACACACAAATGTTGCTTAAACAAGACGTCAGGAGGCTTGGAAGCATTTCAGATATGTTGCTAGAAGGAACTACTGGACATAATATAGTTTGATTTTCTCAGCAATAGGGATGTATTATTGAGAAGTGACCTGTAGAGGATTGAAGTCCTCATCAGTCACCACCAGATGCACTTTTTGGTCACACAGCCAGTCTTGAAGATAAAGTCCCTGAACATTGAGCCCTGAAAATCAGATTTGCGGTCGGGAGGAGATACTGTATGGCTACAGACTGGCTGGGCTGCACCACATTAGTAATAACCGTCTGGAGCTTTTATAGACACTTGGAGTAAAGCTATATGATGTGGATATTGACATTCAGCGCTATGGAACTTTGTGGTCTAAATGTTGTTTTCTGAATTTCTATTTAATAAACCAAATTAAGAGAATATACAAAGATGTGCAGAAAATCCTATTAGGAATCATTTCAATGAAGCTGGCATTTTTGTAAATATATCAAAATAAAAACTTCACATTTAATTCTCCTTAAATCCATTCAGTTCCTATCCCTTCTATATTTAACTATATATAAAATAAAATTTTACTGGGAAGGATTCAAGTTTAGCATTTACCCCATTATTGGACCTGTCAGGCATATTTAGGCATGTTTTTCCTGCAAAAGAATAACCAATAGCAAAAACTGGTTCCTGATAACCGCTGGGGGCTGAAACAGCTCCCTGCCTCCCATAAGGGGATGCTTCAGCTTCAGGGAGCCTACTGAAGACAAGAGGGGAGCCCTCCTCCCCCACCTGCCTTCTCTTTAATCAGCTAACTAGTTAAATATCATGTTTAAGCAGTTAATCAACTGAACAGGATTTTACATCCCTCATAGACATTTTATAATTAGCATAAACATGACTCATCTGCATACCACATTAAGGCTCTTTTTATCTTAAAAAAAAAAGGCTCTCAACTATACAAGCACTAGGGATGTGAAAAGATAACCAGTTAACTGGTAAACTTACTGATTCAGGTTAACCATGGGGGCTGGAGCAGCTCCCTACCTGCTGCATTAGGTTTACCTGATGTTTAACTGATTAACCAGAATTTTACATTCTTATTAGGCACTCTTTTCCTACATATACATAAACAACTTATGACAAACTTGGCATGATCACTCAAGTGTGTCTTCCACTGCTCAGGTTCCAGCTCCATATACACAAACAGGGGGGACACTTGATGCGTATGAACAGCTCCACTATGGTGCATCTTGAAATGGAAATTAATATATCACATTGCCAAATGACAATTTCTGAGGGGTTTCTGGTTTCTCTTAAGTTGCAGTTTCTGGATGTCTCACATGTTTAGTATTCTGATATTCTTGAGCTGTTTTGGGAACATTATTTCCTCAGAATTATTCTGCTCTTTCAACTAAATTAGCTGAAGCTGGTTTCTGATCATTCCTCCTGTTCTGTGATGAAAAGTGTGTGGATACAGTTTGTTCAATGCTGTCCAGATTACATTAGTAAAAGCCATCACACGCTCAGTTTAAGGAAAATAGTATAATCAAAGGTGCGATATTAAACTCTGAGCAGTCTTTGTTAACAGTATTTCAAACCAGAAATGCCATAAAGGAAACAGCTTTTTAACAGAAAAACTAAGATTAAAACAGGAAATATATATTGGGTAAAACCAGTAGAGTCTAAATAGTTAAAGTAAAGAACATTTGGTTCTTTAATGTTTTGCTTAGCAAAAATAATGTGCTGCTAATAGGGTGCGTGTGATATGCTAATAAAAAAAGTAATTAAGCAGTACTGAAATTGTTTTTCCTGTACTCATTTTAAAACTATTTTTATTAAGCTATATTTTCTGTGAATTCTAGAAAAAATATTTTCTAGAAACCACAGAAAATATAGGCAATAGTGATATCTATTAATATCAACCATTTAATAGCTTATTCTAGTAAGGATGAATTGTATTGATTAAAATAAACAGCAGATGATCCAAAAATAAACCAACCTACGAAATGTAATACTAGCATCCATTACTCACTATTACCTGTAACAAGATAATTCATGATCAGGCGATTCATATCGGCTCTCTGGATATGCAAGTTATTGAGTTTTTCCATCCATTCATCTTTTGTGATTTCATCAGGTTTTTCTGCATAACTCATCCTGGACTTTCACTAAAAGGGATGAAAAGTATCTTTCTGGGCACACATACCAGCTGGTGAAAGAAAAGTTAAGTCTAATTTGCCTAGAAGAACGATGTGACCAGCTCGGTTATTTATACCTTCTGGGCGGGTTCAAGACATCGTGTTGGCTAAACAAAAGGTGAGCAAACGGAGAACTGAACTCTTCTGCTTTTGAGATCCGCCACTGTATCTGAAACCCACCGTACACCCCCTTCTCGCTCTCTCCCCTCCCCCCCAAACAACAGACGCCACTGTACGGACGTTCCCTCCCCACACACACCACCGAGTCGCCCCTCCGAGGGGTCCCACAGCCCGTCTCTCACACAGGCTGCCCGGCCCCGCACCTCACAAGGGGCCGAGGGTCGGCCGGGTGACCCGGCTCGCTGCCGGGCTTCACAGCATCGCCTCCAAGGCGCTAAAGGCTTCCTCGGCCCTCCCAAAACAGACGCCACTGTACGGACGTTCCCTCCCCACACACACCACCGAGTCGCCCCTCCGAGGGGTCCCACAGCCCGTCTCTCACACAGGCTGCCCGGCCCCGCACCTCACAAGGGGCCGAGGGTCGGCCGGGTGACCCGGCTCGCTGCCGGGCTTCACAGCATCGCCTCCAAGGCGCTAAAGGCTTCCTCGGCCCTCCCAAGCGCGCCCGCCCCTCAGCCCCGCTGCCCCCGTGGGGAGGGGTCCGGCCTGCTGGGCTCTTA